ACATGCAAACATACAGATATTTGTATTTACATATGTATATACATTATATGTTAATACAAATAAACATAGTAATTTTGTTGACATACTACAGATTTTGTTCTTCTGAGCTCAATTAGCTGCTCGTAAAAATCATTGATTATTATTTATTTCAATGCATTCCTTAAATTTTTTATTGGAAACAGAGTTATAACTTTAAATCAATAAGTTTTTATATTAAAATTGTATCTTTAATATTAAAAAAAAAAATCATTGATATAACAAGAACATTAGTATATTTCAGCCCTCTCTTTAAAACTAAAAAAAAACTAAACATGAATTTTATTCAACGTATGTATACTTATATGTACCAAGCAAAAAAAATCCTGCAATGCACCCGAAAACTGATTCAAATTTTAATATTTGGTTTAGATTACACATAGTTTTAGTCTTAAATACAATACCGCACGATCCACTCAGCGCCACTTTTGCAAGTAGCGAAGGAAGTTTCTTGAATTTGAATTGATTCAACCCAACAGATATCGGTATTGTGTCAAAAATTAAAAAAATCGATGTATCGATGTCAGAGTCGATTTTTTTTACACCTCTACCGGGATACACATATGTGGTCATAAGTAGGCGGTGCCACGCCCATTTTCCAAAAAATTTGTTACAAGCGTATTTTTTTGCTAAAGTTTTATGTATCAATTTTAAATAAATTCGCTTCAGTATTTACTTATTTATCGAAGATTTCGTACTTATCCAAATTACCAAATATCAATTTTAAATAAATTCGCTTCAGTATTTACTTATTTATCGAAGATTGCGTACTTATCCAAATTACCGTTATATCAAGAATTACAACACTATTCCGTGGCGTACGGAATATGAAAGGTTTCCAATTTCCTTGGAAATAGGTTCATAGCAGGAGGCGTTTACAACGCAAAGCATACCTTCTGGGGCTCTCGCCTTATTACTTCTAAAGGACGACAACTCTACGCTGCTGAAAGCTGAATCTATTTCCGCTCTCGTCCGGAAACCCTACATACTGGCCAACAGATACAAAGAAAATACCCGACTTGACTGATTTCTGCGTAGCCAAAGGCGTAGTACCCTCAGAAGTAAAGTCTAACTCTAGTTTCGATTTGTCTTCTGATCACTCCCCTGTTTTATTCGTACTCAATAGCAATTTCGCTGCCGAACCCATACAATGTACTCTACATAATCGGAAAACGGACTGGAATTCCTTTCGATCTATGCTTTCTTCCACCCTTAATTTGAATCTCCTCTTAAATCCCAAGGAAACCTCACTACTGCCTTAGAACATTTCAACAATTGTCTCCAGCAAGCCGCCTAGAAATTAACCCCTTACCTTAACAAACGCAAAAGTGTTTCAACCTCTCGGGAAGTAAAGACGAAAATAAGAGAGAAACGACTTGCAAGGAAAATGTGGCACCAAACTAGATACCCTGAAGATAGAGAACGAATAAACAAGCTCACAAAAGAGCTAAAAGAGTTAATAAAAAAAGTCGACATCACCCTGGGTTGTACTCATCAAATGGACCCACCCATAAAAAAAATTACTAAAGCAGAAGTGAAAACAACAATTGAGAAATTGGGCCTGAAAAAAACTCCGGGCTATGATCTCATCACCAGCCAATTGGTAAAGCAATTACCCAAAGAACGTCTCACTTGTTTTGCTTAATGCCGTTACTACGGGTTTTATACCACCACAATGGAAGGTGCCACAAATAAAAATGATTCTCAAACCCGGAAAAAGTGCTGATAAAGTAGAATCATATTAACCAATTAGCTTACTACCCACAATCTCCAAACTCATGGAAGTTTTATTCCTTAAAAGCTTACTTCCAATTATAGAAGAGCGAAAACTCATACCCAATCACCGATTTGGCTTCAGGAAAAAATACAGCATAGTTGAACAATTCCACAGGCTGGTTGAAAAGATTCAGTCTGCCTTCGACCAAAAAAGTATTGTACTGCTGCCTTCCTCGATATTTCACAAGCTTTCGACAAGATGGATTACTTTAGAAAATTAAAACTACACTTCCAATTAACTATATATTTATTCAGTCCTACCTTGAAAATCGCTATCTTTTCGTCAAACAGGGAATGGAACGGGCCAAACTTCATGAATGCATAGCAGGCGTAGCCCAAGGAAGCGTTATGGGCCCAACCCTATATTTACTCTACACATATGACCTCCCTACTTCGGATGATACTTCTCTTTTATAAGTTAATACTGCCCTCAATTTTGTTTCACTCAAATTACAGGGAGGCTTAAATAAGATAGCTATCTGGTTAAAAGATTGGCGAATAAAGTCCAATGAGTAAAAATCCGTCCAGGTGACATTCACCTTCAAGCGGGATACGCTCGTCAAACTCAATGGTGTATATATATATACCCCAAAGCAACGATACTAAATATCTGGGTATGTATGTACCTTGCTAGAAAGTTAACCTGCAGAACGAATATATATACAAAACGAAAGGCCCTAGGACCTAAACTCACTACCCTGCAATGGCTTATGAATCGTCGCTCCCAATTATCTATTGATAATAAACCTCTCCTATAC